CTGTTTACCTATTCATTGTTTACTGGATTAGAGATGAGGTCCCTAGCTAATATCTTCTTGCTAAATGTCATTGTAAGAGTGTTTATCTATTCTTTGTTTACTGGATTAGAGATGAGGTCCCTTGCTATTGTTTTACTAGCTAAATGTCATTGTAAGAGTGTTTACCTATTCTTTGTTAACTGGATTAGAGATGAGGTCCCTAGCTAAGGATGTCAGTGTAAGAGTGTTTACCTATTCCCTGTTTACTGGGATTAGATATGAGGTCTCTAGCTAAGGTTTTTGTTGTTGAATGGCGTTATAGGATGATTACCTATTCCCTGTTTACTGAGATTAGATATGAGGTCTCTAGCTAAGGTTTTTGTTGTTGAATGTCGTTATAGGATGTTTACCTATTCCTTGTTTACTGGGATTAGATATGAGGTCTCTAGCTAAGGTTTTTGTAGCTGAATGTCACTGTACGAGTATTTACCTATTCCCTGTTTACTGGGATTAGATATGAGGTCTCTAGCTAAGGTTTTTGTTGTTGAATGGCGTTATAGGATGATTACCTATTCCCTGTTTACTGGGATTAGATATGAGGTCTCCAGCTAAGGTTTTTGTCGTTGAATGTCATTATAGGATGTTTACCTATTCCTTCTTTACTGGATGTGACCACTAGGTTGATTTTACTCTGCTCCAGCTCACGTCGAAGTGGATTTATTACAAATTTATCATCTACATATCCAACCCTGACAGCCCCTGCATGAAAAAAGATATAAATAAAAGCAAGCACTCAAAAAAGATTGCAATATAAGAATCTTAATGACCTTGTCCTTAGAGATATAGAAGAGTAATAGGGACAACATACATGTAAGTGAAAACAAGACACACTTCCACAATATTATGTACATGTTTACCTGTATGTCCATTTTAATATGTTTTATTTCCATTAGTGAACTCTTCAAAATTAGAGGCACGTTTGGTCGTCTGACTGGGACAGCATGGCGTTGCGGATAACACAAAACATGCCAATCTCAATCCAATTTTAAATGTTAAATGTATTTGTCATTCCAATTAAGAGTAGAAGAACTAAAAGACATATGTAAGAGAACGAGAACCCTAAATTTATCATCCATTAATTAAAAATACGACATTTCCGAGGCATGTGTATTGTATTTAGATGTACCATACGATAAATAGATACCTACGATCAACAATAGATATTATATAAATAGTGCACGTTTTTGAAGGTAACAGTTGAAATTGACACCCCAAGGAAAACCATTGTCAACCGACGCGTCATATTTATTTTAATATACTGAATGTCTTATTGATTTCGGATGTCATAAAAAAAGTTCGGAGATCGTCGTTAAGTTCACGCTTAGAAAGCTTTCAAACTCACCTCTTCTATTTTTCTCAATAAGATAGTTTTGGAAAAGATTTACCAACCTCTTTATTGTTTGTTAGCTACTCAAAAAGTCCTTTATCATCTAAAGTTTGCACTCACAAGGATGTTTCGTCTGTCGTTTGTTGTTTTCAAGTATACTACATTGGACGCAAGCTCTTATTGACGTTGTTTATTTGCCTTCTTTCAAACGCACAACTGACGTTTTGAGAATTCTACGGTGAACCGTACGCGCATGATTTGAACGCATGTGACATTTTCGTAATGTTACCCGTTGTCAACTGTGTTGCTAACGTTGAGGGTAATATTACGGATTGTTAAATGCGTCTAAACCAATCAGATTTTAGTATTTAACATGAAAGTATAATAAAAATTGATATCGTTGTCATTCCTACTCTTGATGTATATAAAGTGCACAACAATAAAATATTTCATTTGCATTTTCTTAGGAATTGTTCATAGACATTCAACATATTGTTTACATGTTTATGTTATGTTTGTCCCAGTAATCCCGCGAGATTTGTACATTTTCTGACTTTCTGACAAAAGAGCGCACTAAGAAGTATAACTTTTCCATAGTGGAAATACAACGTATTGTCACAAGTTGAAAAAAAATCAATTATATCAGTTAAGACTTTAAAAAACAAAATCCAATATAGCCTTGACCTTAAAAATGATATTAAGAGAAAAAATCAAGAAAAGCACTGTTTAAAATACTGTATGATTGGTAAATACTGGATAAATTTTTAAAATCTGACCTCAAAAAAGACAAATGCATCGGCAATCTATAAGTACATATACCTATACAAATATACATGTACACTATGTAAATCTATAATTTTTCCAGCATGAATAAGAATTTGATGATAAATACATAAAAAGGACAACAACAGACCTACAGGACCATTCCACTGATACTGTACAGAAGACACGGCTATGGCAGCTGATGCTGTATACAATAAAATGAAATATACAAAACTTTTTGAAAACACTCTTCTTAATCAAATGGCATGGTCAGATGTGGATTTACTACGTATACTTATTTCAAATCATCCTCGACAGGTTGCAAAGTATTTGTATTTTTCATTTATGTGGAGACAGTCCGTTATGTTCAGAAAATAAGAATGTATTTCAGTGTCATATTCATCTACCAATAACTTTTATAACAGACACTTGCAATCTTAGCATACAAAATACATATACATGTATATATATCACAATTATGTTTATTTACTTTTTTGTTGATCTCTTAACGTTGTGCTCTTTATTTTCTTTATATGATGGACCCCGTTCTCGAAATAGTTCATAGGAATCCTCTCAGCTGCTGCTGTTTTCAGTCTGTAATCAACCTGTAATGTACAAGCATCATACAGTAAGTTAAGACCCTGATGATGTCTCTATCTGAAACTATTTTTCTAGACAAAATTCCAGTCATGAAAACTACTTTTCTGTATCTGGTTGCAGTTGATTGGATGAACATGACAAATGCATAATAGCAAAATTAACAAAGCATTTTTTTTAATTTATGCACATTCAGTATAAAAATCTATTGTAGCTAACATTTGCTTGTAAGTATATATGCTATAACAGCTACCGAGAAACCCAAAATGCATCTGATATATCTACATTATATATAACAGCTTTCAATGTACCGGTACATGCTGTAAACATTATACATGTACATGACATGTAAGCAGAATTAATCCTCACCTTATATTTCATACATAGAGAAAAAAAGTGGAAGCTTTAAAAAATAGCAAAATGGCAAACTCTCATCCCCCTTGAATGCCAAAACCGAGTGAAAATTTTCAGAGATTTATATGCATTCAGTTTTGTTTTTAATATTTTAGCTTAACTTAAAACATTAGTATGTAACGATATCGAAAAAAAACAATCTTATATATGTTATAATAGTGACATAACTGACAGAGAGTCACTCACAGTGAGAGGAAGAAATGAAGATGGCTGGGATAGAGTTTTTGTCACTGCTGTTACAAGAACACTGCTGAAACAAAATAAGAATTAAACTGTCTGTAATGCAGAAAGTCTGATCAACAATTAAAACTCTCATTTAATGAGAATTTATAGAATACCTTTATAACTGCTGCACCATCTGCAAATTTGGCCAGTTTCCCTGTTTCTATGGTAAGTGTTCTGAACAATAGAAAAGAAAGAAATTGTTTGCTGTATTGTCATTCATGTTCAATTGTTCAAGAAATAATGTCACTCACATCACTGCCTAGATTTCTGACCTTCAGCCTTTTGATGGACTAAGTATTATTTAAAAATGGATTTTATTCAAAGTTTAGAAATTTAACTACGTTGATTAAATTTAATACTGTAGTGAAATTGCATATGTAAATACATTCCCTATGACCTTTCACCCTGACCTCATAGCAACCCACCAGTGCCGGCACGCTTCCCAAGTCAGTTGAGTCCCGTCATCACCTTATACTAAGGTAGGCGACATCATAAAAGTAAAATCCACTATATTTTACTTCAATACATTACTGTTGCACTCTCTACTGTGCAAGATCTCCAATGAGCATGATAATGAGTTATTCTGTGTAAGTTGACTTCTCATTCATTTATGTAAATATCACAATTTATAAAAACAAATTCAGCAAAAATTAACGTTAATTGCTTTAGCCTATTGCCTTATATACCATTCGTTATCATCAGCCAGAATTTTCTCTAAGAATTATTACCTGTTTCCAAGATTCACGGTTGACGCAGCTGATTGAAATCGTTTGATCACGTCCCACCGCTTGTATTTCAGCCATGTCTTTGATGGCATTTGAATTAATTTTGACATCGTTTTTATATGTAAGCTCTTTTTGATATTTTCATCATTTTTCACGCTGATGGCCAAAACACAAGGGCGCAGACATTTTGAAAAAAAAAAAGATAGCTTGAACATGATGTAATTCGAGTTATATTTATCTCACAATTTAGTCGGGTTTTCTACTTCCTTGATAAATGCTGTTTTTTATTTTCATATTTTAGTTATATTCTTCGATGTGTTATTTAAAAATATATAAAAAAAGTTGTTTTTTTTACCTTTATATAAATATACGAATAGATCAATCATTCAAATAACAAGAATTTGGAAAGCGCGCGAATTTTGTCTGCAGTATTTTTCATAGTATTTTGACATTGTGGACAAGCCTTATTTTGAGGTAAAATATGGTACAGCATGGTAAAATAATTGCAAAATACACAATTTAGCATTTTTTGCCCCAATATATCTATATCAAGATTATGTTACATTGATAAAGTCGTCTGCTAAATGTTGATACTGTGTGTTTTGAATTCTATTCATCATGTTGCATGTTGTCTGACTTTGAGACCCATTTTTTCTCCTTAATCCATTTGTCATTTTTGATACTAATAGTAGTTCACAATCTATAATTTTTCATGATATATGTTTATAACTTGATTAAATTTATTTGTGTATTGACATAGACTTTGAAGAAAGGATTACCTACAGAAACTCAAATCAGGATTTGGATACCATAAATTCATGTTAATTTCTTATGTTTTATTTTCCCGTAAATGTTAGTACATAAGTCTTTATTCATGTCATCATTTATTTTACCACCTGTAACTCTTCAGAAAAAATGCCATGGGATATTGTCAGTTCAGATTTTGGGGGAGAAGAAACGGTCAACTTTGGGCCGCGGGAGGAGTCAGGGTCAGCACTGTACCAGATTGATACCCTGGCTACAATATCATCACAAAAAAAGGTTTGACATGCAGAAGTGATGTCTAGTTTAACTTTTAGTGTAGAACAGAGGAGCTCGACAAAATTTATTTTGTCTCCTTACTTTTTGACCACTCTAAAAATAGAAATGCATGTTTTTATTGGTAGTTGTGGTCAAAAAGTATGTGCATAGCCCCTGAAAGTAGAGAGCAGGTCTGTCAATTCTACTTAAATTTTAAGAGATCTTTTACAAATCTTAGATGATCAATACTTTGCTTATATCCCATGTCACAAGGCAAGTGAATATATGTAAAGAAAAGTTTCCATTGAGTTTGTTTGTAAGACTCACCAGAGAGTTAATGAGTTATAATTTCTGATGGTAGAATGTCATATTCTGTATTGATATTACTTATGTTGCACTTAAATTTGAATGGTCTATATATATTATTATAACAGTAACTTGATCCGAAGAGCCGTATCATGTCGAGTTGACAGTCACGGATCATCAGATCAAACAAGACGCGAAGCGTCGAGTTTGATCTGATGATCTGCGCCTGTCAACGAGACGTGATACGGCTCTTCGGATCAAGTTACTGTTATAATGATAAATTTATTATATACCCCTTTACAACTAGCAAAGTATAATAAAAGGAAAAGTTTTTTGGATCAATTACATAACTTTTATCCATTAAACAAACCATTTTGTCAAGGAACTTTTTGATGCGCGAGAATAAAAACGTCATTTATCTGTGTACTATGTCATCAGTTTCAGAGAGGGGTGATATGGATTCAGAAAACCACAGTGTGGTGATCCGGAACGTCGGATCACACCGTCACGTGATTGCGTAAATTCAACAGTAAAACTGAGTGACAAACAGTCGGGTATATAATAAATCTCAGAACTAAAGATATTTTACACTCTTGCCAACAAGAATCCAGTAATTTACATCATTTGTTGGATTCACTTTCAGGTATAATATTTTGTATATTTGTAGGAAACAGAAGTTCCCCATATTGTGAGTTCAGTGAGAGGAGAATTAGCTTGCCTGTCTGTAGATAGACATGTCTCTGTGTTCACTGACTGTCAACACACCACCACTCTGGCTTATGGTGAGTTACAATCTAATTAAAATTAGACCTTTCATCTCGCTCTTCGTAAATTGATTTGTCGCTCGTGAAAGGATCTAACGAAACCCCGTTCAGGTCACGTTCTGTTGACCTTTGCGCCAACCAATCAGCTCATCGCCTCTGAAATTTTCGGTGTCATTACAGCTGCATCAGAACAGTGAAATATTACTAAATCAGTCCAGGGTATTCCGAATAGCAAACCAAGATGGCGACGTCCATGACGCCGCGGAAAGTGTATAGTTCGTCTAATATATGCTGCCTATGCGGGTTTTCTTTTACTGTTAAAGAGGTTGACAAGGATGGAACTGTTACATTTAAGAAGTTATCTAAGCTTAAACTTCGATTAAACGACGAAAAGCGAGAAGCGATTCGTGAAGTGACTGACATTCCAGAAAATGCAGACGGTGTATGCACCAAGTGTTTTGCAAAAGTTGAGAAGGTTGTTTCACGAGCGACAAATCAATTTACGAAGAGCGAGATGAAAGGTCTAATTTTAATTAGATTGGGTGAGTTAAGATTGCCTGTCAGTATAAATTGTTTGTGATACTGCTACTATACTTAATCTTCAATATGCAGTCAAGGTAATTCAGGGTTTCAGATAGCAAAAACAAATAACTTCCTCACTGCACTGCCCATTAGTTCTCTCATTTATATTATTCTTTGCTCAGAAATATTAAAAAAGAATGACAAGATCTTGTCAAAATGTTATGACCAAATGTTGATTAGGAAAGTATCCATGTTATGTAAAGGAAAGGATCCAAAGTGGAAAGTTCGTTAACAGTTCAAAATCATAGGCACAAACAAAATCAAATTTTCTAAGAATTTAAAAATTTTTTTCAATCTGTCAGAGATTTATGTATCACAATAGATCTCCCAATAAATATTCACAATTTTTTTTTAAAGATCCCTTTTCCACACTTGAAATTTTCTTATAAAGTGCTGTTTTTCTTTTTTATTATTATATTAATATTACAAGATTTAACTTTAATTACAAGTCTAATGTGATGTACACATAGATGCTGTTATAGAAGAAATGGCTCTGAGTGAAGATGGGGAGCTGATGATTCTGGGGGATTCTTCAGGGAGGCTTCATATTCTGGACACCGAGGCCTGTAAAATGATCTTCTCTCATGTATGTACAAACTCTTCCCATCTTGCTTGCATGTTTAATGACAAATTAGATAAAGTTAATTTGACCAACCAATATCCTTGACATCAGGTATTAAAGTACATATATGAACTGTTATATGAAAAGCGTCGTTTTGTAGATTTACCTTAACAAGGCTCCAGGTCTTATTTCATTATAAATATGATAAACAGTCAAACCTCGTTATCTGGAACTCGTTGGGACCAAGAAAAAACTTGAGTTATCTGATGATTCAAGATGTCAAGGGTAGAATGCTTGAAGAATTAGTAGTTAGGACTTCCAAATCTTTTTGATATATCCATAGTATTCGAGATATCAGTGTTCGAGATACCAATGTGCAAATGTGTATGAATTATTTATTTTTGCGTCATTTAAACAGTCAGAGATCATTTAACCCTCTTCCCGCAGTCACGCATTTTAACGCATATACCATTTCCTATTTCTAACGCAAAATCACACATATATCGTTTCCCCGCTATCATGCATTTTCACGCACTTTCAAAAGTAAATTTAATCTTCAATTTAATGCCAATTTCCTTCTAATTTATACTTGCTTAAATCTCATAAAATAAGAAAAGTTGTAATCTTATTAAAATATTACGTCATAATTAATTACGCTAAACTTTAGAGAAATTGTACCTCGCTATAAAGTGCTTGCGGGGAAAAGGTAACGTCATATTTCTATGACGTGAACATTAAGTGTATGTTGCGTCACAGTTCAGTAAGTTGTAAAGAGTTAAGACATGCTATAAAAAAACAAAAAAAAAGTTTCAAAGAGAAAATTTAAACATTCAAAGCTATGATTTAAAAAATGTATGAAAAACGGGTTTGGAATGTGTGTAATTAAACCATTTTGCTATAATTTAGATAAAGTAAAAAGGCAGATTTGGAATACTGGAAACATTTTTTCCTCTCTAAAACTAAAAAGTCTTATCCTTACATGTCCTTGTAGATTGTTACACCACCTAACAGAGTGGGGAAAACATTTAGTCGGATCAAATGTTTTGATGCAGAAGAAGGTAATGTGGTATTTGTCTTTAGCGTACATTTGTGTGAAATAATGTGAAAAAGTTCAGTCCTCTTGTGATTTACAATTTCAAATCTGTGTCTCCCCGTAACTGTAAGATATTGTTTCTGATTCATAGGAACAATTTGTGAGATTTATAGTGTTTTTAGAATTAGAGTGTGTTGTTTTTAAATGGACATAGACATACTTGCATTTCTTTTTTTATTTCTCACTTTTGAAAATACATGTATTTTACTTCAGTTTAATGATTTGAATTTAGATTAAATTTCTTAATATTGAATGAAGCACCTGTGTTCGTAAACATGGGCTCAAGTTCTGTTATTGTTTATGTTTACATTTTACCAGGTGTGTTTGATTTGCTAACATTGCACACATCACTGAACACAACCTGACAGCACTTGTGTGTTGGTTTTGCTTTCTTACATTTCTGTTGTGACTTTTCCTGATTAACGTTACAATATCTTTTATTGATACTGCACAGATTTCTGATTTCATTGATATGTGAAGGATAAATTTTTTTATGTGAATGTGCAGGAAAGTAGGACACTCAAACATGTCTGAAAATAATAATTTTGATAATTTTCAGCTGTAAGGAGTTTCTAAGCAAGTATTTATAAAATATCAGTTTGAAATGCTTTGGCAACATGTACATATAGCTGCAAGTCGTGAAATTCTACTGAAGACATAAACTTCATTACATGTATGTACTTGATGTTAAGTTGCCTATTGCTTTTTCAGGTTTGTACAATTTATTTGTGCTGGCAGTCAGTGGAGAACTGAAGATCTTGAAGAGTTTTAACAAGGAAACATTTTTGGCTGGAGGGGGTAAGGTCCTTTATCAATATATTTACATGTCTATCTATGGTTAAGTGGGCAGAAGTAGAAGATAACATGTAATTTTAATAAAATAAAGCAAGTCTGGTTTGATTATCAAATCTTTGGAATGTTGCATAGATTTATGGGTTTGATTATTATTTCTTTTGTATTCATGTTTTGAATCCAATCATTTGTTGCTAATGAATACAATGTAGTTTACAGCCTCAGTATTACATGTATATATCTACAAGCATCTGTAATATTGTATATATCTTTAAGCTTGTTGTTCATTAAAGGCATGTATTTATAAGCTTTAGTATCATACAAGTATGTACATGTATCTATGACTTTTTCAGATGGGATTCGTACCGTGCTGAAAGAGAAACTGATCTCGACCAACATTAGTCAGGTCCATTCCTCAGTAACTGACTTACTGTGTTTAGATGACAGCTTCATTACTATGGTAATGAGTAAACAGTGTTAAAATTTTGCTTTTTACAAAAGCAACAGTGTTCAGTCTCTGAAATCATTTAAACAAAAATATATAAAGATATTTTTCCTTGTGTACATTTTTAATAGTAAATATATAAGCATTAAGACTACTCCCAGTAAGTATTTTTTGTCAGAAGGTTTATTATAGATTTTTCTGCTTGATTTGATTTATAGGTACCTGCATTGAAAGTGTGTGTAATTATGCCACAATTAACAAATCATGACTTGTTATTTGATGCAGGGTTTACTGATGTTGAAAATCATTGCATCTTGTGTATCTACATGTGCTTCTTTGGAGGCAAAATTATCAAGAGTACTAAGTTTGATAATAAAAATAGATGACTTGTTTCATTGTAGGGGATTGGAGATGGAATTCTGGGAGTTTGGGAATGGGAAGGCAGGGAAGCAGTTCTTGATGAGGAAGTTGGAGATTACTTAATCTCAGGTAAAAGTAGGAGATTACTTAATCTCAGGTAAAAGATGGAGAAAATTTAATCTCAGGTAAAAGTTTGAAAATTATTTTATCTCACGTAAAAATTGAAGAATAATTAAACTCGAGTAAAAGTTGTGGATTCTAAATCTCATTTAAATGTTGGAGATAACTTAATCTCAAGTAAAAGATGGAAGGAACATAATCTCAGGTAGATGTTGAACATTGTGTAATCCCAGATGACAAAAAAATGTCATTGATATATCAAAAAGACCACATACTATTATATTTATGGTGATGTTACCTTTTACATGTTTTACAAATAAATATTGGCACAAAAACAAAAGCTGCTATACTATTATAATTTTATGAAGAATTGGATATACATGTATTTGTGAAACAGAAAACCTAAACCCAGCAGTTCTAATTTCAGCCTCTGGAATTGTACAAGGAAAAGTCACCAATGATGGAAATTTCTTATTCTCTTTGGATACCAAGGTATCATTAATATCTGATTTCTAGCAGTGAAGATTTTGTCTTATATAAAACATGTACAGATTGTTTTAATGATAAAAGTTAATTTATTCCTGTTATTGTTTTAGGGTAATTTGTGTCTGTGGAGCACCCAGGCCTGGTTTCTTCTGAAGCAGTGGACAGAGGTCAAAGTTCAGGAGTTCCAGTTATTAGAAACAAGAGAAGTTCAGAATCAGGGGTAAGCATAGTAAAAGTCCAACAAGAGAAGTTCAGAATCAGGGGTAAGCATGGTAAAAATCCAACAAGAGAAGTTCAGAATCAGGGGTAAGTACAGTAAAAGTCCAACAAGAGAAGTTCAGAATCAGGGGTAAGCATAGTAAAAATCCAACAAGAGAAGTTCAGAATCAGGGGTAAGCATAGTAAAAGTCCAACAAGAGAAGTTCAGAATCAGGGGTAAGCATAGTAAAAATCCAACAAGAGAAGTTCAGAATCAGGGGTAAGAATTGTAAAAGTCCAACAAGAGAAGTTCAGAATCAGGGTAAGCATAGTAAAAGTCAAACGAGAAGTTCAGAATCGGAGGTAAGCCTTTTGTATTTAATTTGAGTTGAAATGTACCTGCAAAACCTTTGAAATGTTTTGAATGATTTATTGTAACTTTCCAGCTTACATGACATGAGGCTAGCTCTGATCACTACACCAGTAGAAGGACACAGTACACTGATGATCCAGAGTCTGCCAAACTTTGAGAGTATCTATAACTTACAGCTGAATGCTCCCTGCTTCATCTCCGACTGTCTGCCTTCACAGGTAAGCTTATTATGTATCAGTTCCTTAATGTTTGTTGTTTCTTATACTTTGAGTTTTTTTTCCATATGGCAAAGTGGATCTGATAGAATGAATGAAAATGTTTACAAATGCTTGATAAATAAACTTTGAAAAAACTGCTTGGTAATTAGACTGTTTGGTAGATTAACTTTTAAATAAATGCTTGGCACATACATGTATGCTTCATAATGAATATTGAATGTATTTTCTCTTTCAGGAATATTTATTTATAGTGGAGTGTTGTCCCGATGCAGAGTAAGTGATAACTCATTAAAAATTATGTATTTCTTCATTTTCATAGATTGATGAAATATGATTCATAGATTGAAATATGGGTTAAAGAATTTTTCATCAATGTTGATTTCAATCTCTGTTTAGATATCCCAGTTTAGTGTCCACAGTGAGATTCCGTTGTCTGACCGAGACCAATCCAGAATCCAGGTATTTACAGAAAGAGTGAAAATTTTCAGAAATATTGCAGAGAATTTCTGTTAAATTCCCATGATGGCAGATTTTTATTGTCTAATTTTGGTAGCACATTAAATTTGCATGTACATTGAAGATGTATCATTGATTATTTCTTTTCAGACTGTATCGTATCCTGTCCAAGAAGAAATTTGAAGAAGCAGTGCTGTTTGCAAAGATGTATCATTTAGAAATTGATGTAAGTGCACACTTGCCTAATAGAAGTATGATCAGACTATTACAAGTTGTAATTCTATGCATCATTATCTCCCTTTCTTATTGTAGCATGTAAACTCTTTGTTATTGTAGCATGTATACAAGGTAAAAGTGAATTATCTGCTAGAGCAGTTGTCTCCCTGGAATATGAAGAAATATACAGAAGACACCACTAATGACCTGATAGAGCAGCTCTGGGAATGTCTACAGTTTGTCAAGGTGGGAATTCTAAGAGACATCTACACTGTTTGTTCATTTCAGGATATACAGTCATGTGCATGTATGTACATGTAGTATGTTGACTGGCACCTCTCTCTTTTTGCATCACATTAATGCTCATCTGTATAAGAAGTAGTAAACTATGTGCAGTACCCAGCTTTTATCTTGTTAATATATGGTGCTAAATTATGTTTCTTTGTATTAATGTGTGAAATACACACAGATGAAGGACTAAAACAGATAACTGGAATTCACATTGTTTTTCTTACATTTTCTTGATCTACATATAACAGCGTAATGCCAAAAGCAGATACATGTATGTTTATGAAATGCTTATTAATGTATAGAAAAGGAAAAGACAAGTGAGTAGCCTTGACTATGTTTTATTGTTTTTAGTCTTTACAGCTCTTACATTTCATTATAATGTGTTTCAATATTACAGGATGATTTAGAGCTGATAGAGAACTGTATGAACTCTGCCCTCCCTACACTGGGCCTCACACAACAAATGTTGGAGTATTGCAGAAAAATGGTGATTTTCTTGAATACCGTATAACGGGTATTTTCTGCGATTGGAAATTTTTGCGATTTAACCCCAAAAAGGTTGCAAATTAATTTCTGCGTTTTCAATTTCTGCGGTTGCACTATACCGCAAAAATTATTTACGGGGTATGATCATGCACTAAACTGTATGAATTATCAGAACGCTGTCATGTTTACGTTTTATAAATTCATTAAGACATACTGTTCAAAGGTGCATGAAAACTGGTATTTAGCTATTAGGCTTAATTAAACTACTATCTTTTAGTTAGTTTTTGTAAAAATATTTCGAGTACCAATTGAAATGAATTAATGCAGTGTACATGTAAGTCCACCCAAACAGCAATACAAATCTTTATTCTAACAGTTTTATGCGATCTATTAAAATACTAGTATTTAAATATGTGTAGATAATGATAATAAATACATCCAAACCATATTCTAAAATACATTTCTAGTTAACTGCCATCAAAATTAATTTGGTGTTTATATTTTAAGCTAAAACAAACAGTTGCATAATGAAGTACCCCAAAGTTGACGGTTAACAATGACAGGTGTCATGTGCATTGAGGCATAACTAATCCTGTCAGTCTTATGCATTAGGTGAAATTCACGAGACAATCGAGCCACATTGTGTATACAAGCAGCAATTATTGTCTCAATATAAAACACGTTTAAAAAAGAAAAGCTACCATGTCTTGTTTGCAGCTATCGGAGTTTGGACTAATAATTGCGAAATAGGTAGTGCCTATTAATTAATATGAATGAATATTGAAAAAAATATTTTGCGATTATAATTTTTGCGGATTTGTCCTATCCGCAAAATTCCGCAAAAATTGGACAACGGCAGAAAATACCCGTTATACAGTACAAGCAAACAAACAAATGCATGTTTAACACCCCCCCCCCCCCCCCCCCCCAAAAAAAAGTATTATGAAAAGATGCTCAATAACTTGTATTTATTTAAAAAAACAAACAAACAAACTTCCAACAACAGTTTTACAGTTGTAGAAGTTATCCCTTACAAATTAAGAAAAAAAAAAAATAAGTGAAATTGTGTTTAAAGATGTTTGAATGGTTGTTCAGATTTTTCTTTTATTTCAAAAGTTGATGGAATTTCCTGAGCAAAAATTAGATACCAAAGGGAAGAAAAAACAGCACAGTTTAACCACCAAGGTAATTATGAAGAGCTGTTTCAAAAATAAGATATATACATGCTGAAAAGCACCATTAACAAAGACACAATTTTGAAATTTATGACATTTTTTCTGCTTCAGTTGAATGAAATCTCTCGAAGATTGAACACGTATCGTATGGCATACAGCTCCAATCAGTACAGGTACTAAATGAAAATAAAATGAACCTTATGTTCAATAATTAACTGTACACTGTACTTAAAAAAACATAACATGGAGTGTTTATTTCTTTTTTAGTGCTGACAACTGGGACCATTTCAGAAAGGCTGATCTACTAGAGGAGGCTCAACACAACATGAGGATGGGGAATCTTAGTGTGGGACTCACCATCTGGGTCCAACATCAGGTGAATTAGGGGAATGTTGGTGTGGGGCTCACCATCTGGGTCCAACATCAGGTGAATTAGGGGAATGTTGGTGTGGGGCTCACCATCTGGGTCCAACATCAGGTGAATTAGGGGAATCTTGTGTGGGACTCACCATCTGGGTCCAACCTCAGGTGAATTAGGGGAATGTTGGTGTGGGACTCACCATCTGGGTCCAACATCAGGTGAATTAGGGGAATGTTGGTGTGGGACTCACCATCTGGGTCCAACATCAGGTGAATTAGGGGAATCTTAGTGTGGGGCTCACCATCTGGGTCCAACATCAGGTGAATTAGGGGAATCTTAGTGTGGGATTCACCATCTGGGTCCAACATCAGGTGAATTAGGGGAATCTTAGTGTGGGATTCACCATCTGGGTCCAACATCAGGTGAATTAGGGGAATCTTAGTGTGGGATTCACCATCTGGATCCAACATCAGGTGAATTAGGGAAATCTTAGTGTGGGACTCACCATCTGGATCCAACATCAGGTGAATTAGGGGAATCTTAGTGTGGGACTCACCATCTGGATCCAACATCAGGTGTCAAGGGGAATCTTAGTGGGGACTCACCATCTGGGTCCAACATCAGGTGAATTAGGGGAATCTTAGTGTGGGACTCACCATCTGGGTCCAACATCAGGTGAATTAGGGGAATCTTAGTGTGGGGCTCACCATCTGGGTCCAACATCAGGTGAATTAGGGGAATCTTAGTGTGGGGCTCACCATCTGGGTCCAACATCAGGTGAATTAGGGGAATCTTAGTGTGGGGCTCACCATCTGGGTCCAACATCAGGTGAATTAGAGGAATCTTAGTGTGGGACTCACCATCTGGATCCAACATCAGGTGAATTAGGGGAATCTTAGTGTGGGACTCACCATCTGGGTCCAACATCAGGTGAATTAGGGGAATCTTAGTGTGGGACTCACCATCTGGGTCCAACATCAGGTGAATTAGGGGAATGTTGGTGTGGGGCTCACCATCTGGGTCCAACATCAGGTGAATTAGGGGAATGTTGGTGTGGGGCTCACCATCTGGGTCCAACATCAGGTGAATTAGGGGAATCTTGTGTGGGACTCACCATCTGGGTCCAACCTCAGGTGAATTAGGGGAATGTTGGTGTGGGACTCACCATCTGGGTCCAACATCAGGTGAATTAGGGGAATGTTGGTGTGGGACTCACCATCTGGGTCCAACATCAGGTGAATTAGGGGAATCTTAGTGTGGGGCTCACCATCTGGGTCCAACATCAGGTGAATTAGGGGAATCTTAGTGTGGGATTCACCATCTGGGTCCAACATCAGGTGAATTAGGGGAATCTTAGTGTGGGATTCACCATCTGGGTCCAACATCAGGTGAATTAGGGGAATCTTAGTGTGGGATTCACCATCTGGATCCAACATCAGGTGAATTAGGGAAATCTTAGTGTGGGACTCACCATCTGGATCCAACATCAGGTGAATTAGGGGAATCTTAGTGTGGGACTCACCATCTGGATCCAACATCAGGTGTCAAGGGGAATCTTAGTGGGGACTCACCATCTGGGTCCAACATCAGGTGAATTAGGGGAATCTTAGTGTGGGACTCACCATCTGGGTCCAACATCAGGTGAATTAGGGGAATCTTAGTGTGGGGCTCACCATCTGGGTCCAACATCAGGTGAATTAGGGGAATCTTAGTGTGGGGCTCACCATCTGGGTCCAACATCAGGTGAATTAGGGGAATCTTAGTGTGGGGCTCACCATCTGGGTCCAACATCAGGTGAATTAGAGGAATCTTAGTGTGGGACTCACCATCTGGATCCAACATCAGGTGAATTAGGGGAATCTTAGTGTGGGACTCACCATCTGGGTCCAACATCAGGTGAATTAGGGGAATCTTAGTGTGGGACTCACCATCTGGGTCCAACATCAGGTGAATTAGGGGAATCTTAGTGTGGGGCTCACCATCTGGGTCCAACATCAGGTGAATTAGGGGAATCTTAGTTTGGGGCTCACCATCTGGGTCCAACATCAGGGGAATTAGGGGAATCTTAATGTGGGATTCACCATCTGGATCCATCATCAGGTGAATTAGGGGAATCTTAGTGTGGGACTCACCATCTGGGTCCAACATCAGGTGAATTAGGGGAATCTTAGTGTGGGACTCACCATTTGGGTCCAACGTCAGGTGAATTATAATTGTATATTTATCAGCCTATGCTATGGGGAATATTGAATCCAACAATAGGAGAAATGTAAATATAGCAAGCAATTTTGAATTCTCCATTCTACATCTGCAGATGCCAAAAACTGTATTAAGAAGAAAAGATTCACTGTCTTTTGCTCCTGACAATGCATGAACACAATGTTCAGTAGAGTTTGTTCTCAAGTATGACTTGTAGAATTGTACTGCTGAGTAAGAAAGGTTTATGAACTTATGTTTCTCTGGGTTGATTGGGAGAGAGTGCTCAAGTTTTAGCTCTACTGCTCAGAAACCGAAAGAGGTGTGATAGTAAGGTGTCAGTTGACTCTTCATGTCTGTAGCCGTCTATAAACTTTTTTTTTTTTCAAAATGCTATTTCTACATTTTTGATCCAATTTCAATAAAACTTGATAGACTAGTAGACTACACTAAGATACATAATTCTCTTTCTTGTTTTTTAGCTCATCTGAGCTGAAGACTCAAGTGAGCTTTACTGATCACATTTAATTTGGCGTCCGTCTATCTGTAAACTTTTACATTTTCGACTTTTTTAGCTCACCTGAGCTGAAAGCTCAAGTGAGCTTTTCTGATCACCTGTTGTCGTCGTCCGTCCGTCTGTCCATCCGCCCGTCCGTCTGTAAACTTTTCACATTTTCAACTTCTTCTCAAGAACCTCTGGACCAATTTTTACCAAACTTGGTACAAAGCATCCTTGGGTGAAGGGAAGTTTAAATTGTTAAAATGAAGGGCCAAGCCTCCTTCAAAGGGGAGATAATCAAGAAAAGACACAAACTGGGTGGGGTCATTCAAAAATCTTCTTCTCAAGAACCACTGGGCAAGAAAGGCTGAAACTTAAGTGGAAGCATTCTTGGGTAGTGTAGATTTTAAATTGTTCAAATAATGACCCCTGGGGTTAGGTCGGGGCCACAAAAGGGAATCCAATTTTCTCATTGAAATATGTAGGAAAATTTTTAAATATCTTTTCAAGAACCACTGGGCCAGAAAAGCTGAAACTTAAGTGGAAGCTTTCTGGAATAGTGTAGATTCTAATTGTTCAAATCATGACCCTTGGGGATAGGGTGAGGCCACAATAAGTACTACAAGGGGGGGAATCAGGTGAAAAACAGCAAGGCTAAAGTTACTCAGGTGAGTGTTGTTGCCCATGGGCCTCTTGTTTCTCAAGAACCCCTGGGCCAGTATCAACCAAACTTGCAACAAAGCATCCTTGGTTGAAGGGAATTCAAGTTTGTTCAAATGAAGGTCCACACCCTCATTCAAGGGAAGATACATGAAATTAAGAAGTTGCATTTTTTAAAAATCTTCTCAAGACCACGGGCCAAAAAACTCTTTCAAGGGGAGTTACATGTAATTACGCATGAGTGAAAAATTAATGGCATCTTTTTAAAAAATCTTCTCAATAACCACTTGGCTAGGAAAGAAGAAACTTATGTGGAAGTATCATTGATTGGGAAGGGCTTGCACCACAGGCCATAGTCACATTGAAGTGAAAATTGGCACATGAAATCAACCATTTGCCGGGCCAAGGTGTGCATTCAATTTTTAGCGATGTTAGTTGGAAATATTTTGCTTACGACTTTCTTACTTGTTTTACTTTCATTTTAAATGCAGTCATTTTAACACAACAAATCTCATTGGTTAAAATCCATCAAAAACTGCTTCCTGTTATGTGAAGCCTCACAGTTCAATCCAAATTTTGACGTTATTGATCCAAAAATATGGGTAAATCATATTGTGTGGGGGTTTCTTTAAATGTGCTGCACTGCAAAGGTGAAAAATAAGATCTGGTTAATAAAAAACATGTTTTCTTCTATACTTCATATTTGTTTGTCATTTTATTATTTCTTAAAATGGCCCTTCAGAATATATAGAAGACCCATTCATTTTCAAAATGGCCCATTAAAAATTTTGATGGTTGCACCATAGTCCCCTTGACCTTCATGGCCTTCCCAATCACTGAAGCATCCTCAGGTAGTGTAGATTCAAATTTGTTCATATCATGACCCCTGGGGTAGGGTGGGGCCACAATGGGTGATCAAAGTTTTACATAGAAATATATAGGGAAAAATCTTTAAAAATCTTCTTCTTAAGAACAGCAATGCTATGATTGGTCATATTTATATGGAAGCATCCTTGGGTTGAGTAGATTCAAATTTGTTCAACCCCCCCCCCTTCCTGGGGTAGGGTGGGGCCACAATGGGTGATCAAAGTTTTACAGAGGAATACATATGAAAATTTATTTAAAAATCTTCTCAAGAGCAGCAGTGCCATGATTAGTCTTATTGATACAGGAGCATCCTCAGGTAGTGTAGATTTAAATTTGTTAGAATCCTGACAGTAGACTACAGTCTTGACAGAGACTTCTGGTTTAAAAATTTTACATGGTTCTAAAGGATAAGGGAAGAGAGTGCTGAATTATGTATGATTTGAAATATTTTAAAAGGATGAAAAGAAGAGAATGCAACATTATTATTTTGATGATTTATTATAGCCTGAATTGGCAAGAGAACCACATTAATTATGATGTTGATGTAATTTCCTAGGCTGGAAGAGAGTATTGATGTTGTTTTGTAGTTGGAGAAATTTTATTATTTTGATGTTTTGTAGTCTGAGTGAGAGAGAATCCAGAACTCTGGTATTGTGGAGGCCTTGTGTTATATACCAGAGAAAGAGTTGGCTGTAGAAATACTGGACATTATAATTTAGATGTTGTTTTTGAAGTCTGAGTGGGAGAGAATACTGAAGCCTGGTGTTATGGATGCCTTCCTGTCTTATATACCAGAGAAAGTGAGAGCTGTAGAAATACTGGACATTATTATTTAGATTTTGTTTTGTAGTCTGAGTGGGAGAGAATCTTGAAGCCTGGTGTGGTAGATGCCTTCCTGTCCTATATACCAGAGAAAGTGAAAGCTGTAGAAATACTTGGTATTCTGAGGGACAGCATCATCCCTTATGTCATCAGACTCATTCCAGATAAACTGGTCAGAGGCCTATTTTAAATATTTTATTTTTAGTATAACAAATATAAAGTTATATTGATGTTTTGTTTTGAAAGTTTTCATTATGCAATAGGATAGTATACATAGAGAATAACTATTAAACATAGAAAAGAATTAAACTGTCAAGTTTCTTGCATAACCTATAGGTCTGGAATTTCTTGTTATTATTGTTGTTAAACTTATTTTATGATGTTATTTTTCAGGAAAGCCTAGTCTCTTGGGTCATCAGAAAAGCCACAAATCTTGAACTGATGGAAAAAGTAACATTTATTATTGATCATAAAGTGAATTACAATGCTTTTTTTCCCAAAGATTTTAATTCTCAATTTTTATTATGTTTTCACCAGTGTTTTATGTTTACTGTAAACATGTTATTTCCTAGTACACTATACAAAGTAAAGTACATGTATAGTAACATAATAAGTACACTGATTATAAACTGTATGTTGTCTGTCAGAGTGCTTGGCCTCTGAATGGTCTGGAGTTTATGCGGTCCATCTATGACTGTCTGTGTCAGGCCCTGGAGATACACTACACTGAGGATACATGTGACCAGTCAGACCTCGTCAATAAGGTCTGTATAAAATTATACCTGAAGAAAGGGACCTCTGTGGTTTTAAATTTACATGTAGTTCTTTTTTATTTATTTTTTTTAAATATTGTTAAATGGAAAACATCAAGTTACCACTTGCAGAAAAAGCATTACTGTAGATTCCTTATTTTTCGCGAGTACTTATTTTCGCGAAATGGCTCTTAAACGTCAAATCGCGAGAACAATAATTCGCGAGTGGACGGTTGATCAAGAGATTTTACACTGATTTTAGCACCATAAAAATTAAAGCGAGTAATTTTATTTCGCGAGTGGTGCTTCTCGCGTAATTACGCGATAATTAATTCCTCGCGTATATTTAGGAATCTACAGTACTTAGGCTAAGTTGCTACTTTTTAATCAAGTTTTGAATCTGACAATTTAAATGAAGTTTTCATGTAGTTAAATTTGATTTTAATTTGCTTTATAATTTAATATACAATGTACATGTAGATGTATATCTTATTCTTTACTCAGACCAAGATCAACATAGCAGCTGTGTTGGACCCTGTGAAGAAACTGATCACAAATTTACAACACCTGTATGACCTCTACCACAAGTACAGGTGTTATCTGACCTTTGCTCAGTTCCTAGCTGTAAGTTATCACCTGTATGATTTGTACCACAAGTACAGGTGTTATCTGACCTTTGCTCAGTTCCTAGTTGTAAGTTATCACCTGTATGATTTGTACTACAAGTACAGGTGTTATCTGACCTTTGCTCAGTTCCTAGCTGTAAGTAATCACCTGTATGATTTGTACTACAAGTACAGGTGTTATCTGACCTTTGCTCAGTTCCTAGCTGTAAGTAATCACCTGTATGATTTGTACTACAAGTACAGGTGTTATCTGACCTTTGCTCAGTTCCTAGCTGTAAGTTATCACCTGTATGATTTGTACTACAAGTACAGGTGTTATCTCACCTCTGCTCAGTTCCTAGCTGTAAGTTTAACAACTGATGAGATTATGAAGGCAAATGATTTGCAGTAAAGGACAAGATTAATAAAAGTCTTATTCAAAATTTTTTCCTAAGATGACACAGTTGTCAGAGACTTGATGCTAGTATATTCTCTATCATTATGAAATATTAATACCACCAGCTGGAGGTATTATTAAATGTTAGACTATCTACAGTAATTAAGCTTTATATTAATTTAATCTAAGATTCCAATTAATTTGTGAATAGATTTAAATAATTGGTTCTAGGAGACCACAGAGTCAGTGACCTTTAGGATGTTGGATAATGTGGTTGCCTTGGAGATGATTCAGACTCGCCTGACCCAGCAGATCCGACCTTACATGCAGGAGCATTACCTGAAAGAGGACACAGTCTTCACTAAATATGTCAAGGTCAGATAGAGATAGAGGACACAGTCTTTTCTAAATATGTCAAGTTCAGATACAGAAATATCATTGACAACACTACTGTATTAACTAAATGTGTGTCGACTGTCAATGTCACAAAAAGAAAGAGGACACTGTCTCTTCTAAATACATGTATGTCAAGTTCAGATACAGAAATACCATTGACAGCACTACTGTATCAACTAAATGTGTGTCAAGGTCAGATACAGTCTTCACTAGTATGTCAAGGTCAGATATAGAAATACCATTGAAAGCAATACTGTCTTTAGTAAATGTGTTTCAAGGTCAGGCTCCGGGGCCATAAAACTGAGACGAGCTAACTTTTGTTCTAAGTCTCACTTTTACAAAAGGAATATATAGTGGAAAAGTGAGACTGAGATCAAAAGTGAGCTCATCTCAGTTTTATGGCCCAGGAACCAGATATAGAAAGAGGACACATGTCAAGGTTAAATTAAGAAATATGATGAATAATAACTACATTGTACTGTTGTACTAAATGTGTATCGAGGTGAGGTCTAGAGATAAAAAGTCCTGCAATATTCCTGTCAGTTTAAACATCAAACATATATACAAACAGAAATATTTTTGTCATGAACAAACTACAGAATGCACAAAATAAATGTGGTAAAAAATCATTAAAAAAAAAAAACAGGAATTTTCTTTTGATTTCTTGAGCAAAACATTGAATGGATTTACTTGTACTTAGTTATTCCCCTTTTCTTCAGTAGTTCTGCTTGGTAAATAAATCATGCCAAAATTATGCTTTCCCTTCATTAGATTTTCTTAGATTTTTTACTAGATAAATTCTGTATGTTAGATTTCATTTATCAGAAAAATAATTTCTTTTGAAATTAGTTTGATGTTGGGCCTATATTGACTGGACTACAAATATATATACATAGAGAATTAAGTGCAGCCAGTATTTTTCTCATTTTTACCCGAAGGCTCAAGTGAGCTTTTCTGATCAAAATCGTTCATTGTCTGTTGTTGTTGTCCTTCATGTGGTCGTTGTTGTAAACTGTTTACAATTTCATCTTTTTCTCCAGAACCTCTAGACTAATTTCAACCAAATCTGCCACAGAGTATTTTTAGCTCACCTGAGCTGAAAACTCAAGTGAGCTTTTCTGATCACCCGTTGTCCGTCGTCCGTCCGTCTGTCTGTCCGCCGTCCGTCCGTCTGTAAACTTTTCACATTTTCAACTTCTTCTCAAGAACCACTGGGCCAATTTTAACCAAACTTGGTACAAAGTATCCTTGGGGGAAGGGGAGTTTAAATTTTTAAAATAAAGGACCAAGTCCCCTTACAAGGGGAGATAATCAAGAAAAGACAAAAATAGGGTGGGGTCATGAAAAAATCTTCTTCTCAAGAACCACTGGGCCAGAAAAGCTGAAACTTATGTGGAAGCATCCTGGGATAGTGAAAATTCTAAATTGTTAAAGTCATGACCCCCGGGGGTAGGGCGGGGCCACAATAGGAAATACAAGTTTTACATTGAAATATATAGGAAAAATCTTTAAAAATCTTCTTCTCAAGAACCACTGGGCCAGAAAAGCTGAATCTTATGTGGAAGCATCCTGGGGTAGTGTAGATTCTAAATTGTTCAAATCATGACTCCTGGGGGTAGGGCGAGGCCACAATAGGGAATACAAGTTTTACATTGAAATATATAGGAAAAATCTTTAAAAATCTTCTTCTCAAGAACCACTGGGCCAGAAAAGCTGAAACTTATGTGGAAGCATCCTGGGGTAGTGTAGATTCTAAATTGTTCAAATCATGACCCCCGGGGGTAGGGCGTGGCCACAATAGGAAATACAAGTTTTACATTGAAATATATAGGAAAAATCTTTAAAAATCTTCTTCTCAAGAACCACTGAGCCAGAAAAGCTGAAACTTTTTTTTGGAAGCATCCTGGGGTAGTGTAGATTCTAAATTGTTCAAATCATGACCCCCGGGGGTAGGGCGTGGCCACAATAGGAAATACAAGTTTTACATTGAAATATATAGGAAAAATCTTTAAAAATCTTCTTCTCAAGAACCACTGAGCCAGAAAAGCTGAAACTTATGTGGAAGCATCCTCAAGTAGTGTAGACTCTAAATTGTTCAAATCATGACCCCGGGGATAGGGCGGGGCCACAATAGGGGGAATCTCAAGTTTTACATTGAAATATATAGGAAAAATCTTTAAAAATCTTCTCAAAAACCACTGGACCAGAAAAACTGAAACTTATGTGGAAGCATCCTGGGGTAGTGTAGATTCTAAATTGTTCAAATCATGGCCCCTGGGGGTAGGATGGGGCCACAATAGGTATTCCAAGGGGGGAAGTCTGTTAATGAACAGCATGGCCAAAGTTACTCAGGTGAGCGATGTGGCCCATCGGCCTCTTGTTGGGTAAAAGGGATTCAAATTTGTTCAAGTGAAAGGGCACACCCTCTTTTGAGGGAAGATAATTATGAATTGGTGTTAAAAATTAAAGGCATCAGTTAAAAATCTTTTAAAGAACTACTGGGCCAGAAAAGATGAAATTTAAATGAAAACCTCCTGACGTTTTGAAGATTCAAGTATTTACCAATCATGACCCCTGGGGGTAGTGTGGGACCACTGTGGGTGAACAAAGTTTTGTGTGTATATATAGGAAAAATCTTTAAATCTTCTTCACAAAAACAGCAAAGCCATGTATATATTTGTATGGAAGCATCCTTGGTAGTGTAGATTTGAATTTGTTCAAATCCCCCCCCCCCTACCTTCCACCCCACCCCCGGATTAGGGTTGGGCCACAATGGACAATCAACATTTACATAGGAAACATCTTTAAAAAAATTCATGTTAAGAACAGCAAAGCCATGATTAGTCATATTTATATGGAAGCATCCTCAGGTAATGTAAAATCAAGTTTGTTCAAATCATGATCCTTAGGGGTAGGGTGAGACCACAATGGGCGATCAACATTTTACATAGGAATACATAGCAAATGCTACAATTTTTGTTGCATTTTCAGGATTTGTTAGAGAGAAGCATGGGACTGACCTCATTCTATGGAGAAGCTCCATGGGAAGCCAAAGTGATAGCAGTCATTGGTTGTATCAAAGACCCCAGGGTAGGGACAAAAAAAGGCTCTCCAGAACTCTGGTCCTATATCCAGCCTTATAGTGGGACTCGTACTTCAGTAACTACATTTTACTTCTTTGTTGTAGTCCAAGTGTGAAGCCATTCTGGAGACGATGAAGATGGCACGTATTCCTCTGTCGGCTCAGATTGAGAAACTCATACAGGAGGGCATGGAATTAGAACATCCCAAGTCAGTATATACTGTATATCTTTACCTCACATCGCAAGTCAGTATATACTGTATATCAACTTTACCTCACTGCTACACTATTTAACTATTTCTCATTCAAACATGTACAATGTTTTTGACAATTTAAGAAGGGAGATAACTATTACTGGAATAATGGACTGTTAATTCTTTATAAATTGTTAAGTAAAAAACCCATTTCTTTCAAATTGTTTCCCACAATGTACAACTGTATGCTGAAATTGTATGCATTTCAATTCTAAATCTGATTTCTTTTGGAAAATCAGAAGTGTTATAGCAAACTTTCACATAAGTGTACATAAGGAACTAAAGGAAGATAAACCTGTATTATTAGCTCATAGCCAAAGGCAGATCCAGCCCCCCCCCCCACCCCCTAAAATCAAGGGAAAAACATCTCTTATTTGTTAGAATTCGTCAGTTTCAAGGGGCTTTGCCCTCTCAAACCCCCACCAGGGCTTTGTCCTGGACCCGCTAGGGAGCTTCAATGCAGCCCCCGACTCCCCCTGCCTTCTACTTTGCCCCCCCCCCCCCCCCCCCCCCATTATGAAATTCCTGGATCCACCACTGATAGCCACAAACTTTTTTGATTTTTTTGTCCTTGCAGTATTGAAAAAGTTAGCCTCACAGGAAGCACAATATATTGTCAAGACCTTTCTACATGACACCTAAACTGACTTGTTTTTAGATTTCTGTTATATTGTCAATCCACAAAAAGTGAACTTAAGTAATTTTTCTTTAAATTCAGATAGATATTTTTCAGAGCCACAGAGATACAGGAGCAATACAAGATGGTGACTGTCAGAAAACTGGTTCTAAAGTACGGAGTCAACCGGGTACCAGACAAACAATCCAATGAGGCATGTTTCCTTTATTTATTTACTCCATATACAGTATACAATGTCTTCCTTCAGAACTTATATTTCTAGATAATTAATGGCAGGTTTCTAAATATAAATATTTTTGTAGGACCTGATTAAGTACATCCTGGTCCAAGACAAACCAGACTGTGTACAGGACGCCCTGAGTGTGATGGAGGCGTACGGTAACACAGAGTACGAACAGGAAATCTATCTCTTCAAGTGTAGAGATCTCATTCACAAAAACAAGGCAAGAATACAGCTTGTTCTGGTAACTTTTAGTTATACAAGATGATAACAAAAATTCTAACCTGAATCAAAGTTTAAGTCTAACATTTAATGAAATCCCTGTGATAGTCCAGTCAAGGAAGTGAAAAATTGGGCATAAACTAAAACTATATGTAAGTGCAACAGAAATATTTTTGTTTGAAAGTCTTGAGAAAAAAAATATAGTCTTCATAAAATGTTTTCATTTAAAATTGCTGTGGAAATCAAATAGTACATGTATATAGGGTAAAATGCAATTATTTGCACAAATATAAACCATAAAATGTCTTTGTTTGTTATTACAGGAATTAACACAGGAATTATTGCAGAAAAAATTAGATGATTTTTAGATAGTGCTTTGTGTAGGGGGAAATATACTAAAACATATTTTTTACACTACAGGACCAACACAAACCATTTTCATAGGAAATACATTATAAAACCTATATGTATTTGAAGTTTCACTTACATGTATTTTCTATGGACATTCATTATTTTTTTTAATGATTAAAGATGTGCTTTGATAATAAGACTGATATTTGTATATGTATTATTGTAAGATTCCATAGTGAAGCATACCGATACATCAGTAATATTACATAGCTCTTTAATTACATAGAATACAACACAGTTAAGCATTTCACAGCAGATATCTGATTTTCTTCACTTGTCTTTTGAACCAATGACACTGAGCAACAAACAGATTGTCATTTGCATCTGTACACAGTCCCAAGGGTACACTCAGTCCACAGTCTATGTAACAGAGGAACTGTCCATCCTGGTCTATGATGTGGACACAGTCATTGTTAGAATCAGCTGTAAGGATGTGACTCTGACTGTCTGTGGTGATTCCTCGTGGACTGAATGATTGGTTATTTGGAGCAGGAGTATGTCCAGTGTACCTGAATCTCAGTTTCCCGGACTGATTGACCACCACTACTGCATTAGCTACATCATCAGACACACAGATATCCAGGTTCTTGTTCTCAGTTATGTATCTTAGATAAAGAGAACTAGGTGAATAGAGAGGTTTACCTTTATCATCAAACTGAATGCTTTTTTTCTCTGTGGAGCCAGAGTAACGGACAACTTTTGATTGTTTGTTATCATTACTGTCCATGATAACCAGGAGGTCACCAGAGGAGGTACTACAGACACCTTTAGGTTCCCAGTTCTGTAGTCTGATCACCTCCTCTATCTTCTCATTCTTCACAATGTTCACAGTTCTATCACTGTAATCAGTATAAACTAGATCTCCACTTTTTGTCACTACTATGTTATATGGTATGATCCCTGACTTGGTTGTGATTGACTTGAGTAGTGATCCCTGATTGATGCTGTAGAGTTTCATGGTGCTGTCAAATCCACTTGTCCATATTTCTTCATCACTCAGACAGACCACGTTGTAAAGTTCTCCATACCCAGTGTCTATGGTGGTGACAGTCTCTGGTTCATCAAGCAGCTGTTTGACTGGAGGAGAGGATCCAGCTTCTGGTGATTTCTGTGTTGTCTTCATGCTGTAGCCATGTTTATTTGGTGTTAAAGAACTTGATGATAAGACTCCAAACATTTTACTAAGTTCTTCTCCTTGGATTTTTTCTGGAATGAATTTGAGTAAAGATGGTATAATTTTGTGTGGAAGATTTCTGTATGTGTGTACATTGGATGTGACACTAAATAGTTTTGACAAGTCATTGGTGTCTGTTACAGTTTCCATTGAATTGATTTCATCCTTGATGTCAGACATTGTCTTGTTTATTTCACCCAGATGTTTCTGTAGAGTTTGTAACTGTGTGTTTTTCAAGACATCAACTTCAGCTATAAGTTTCTTGACAAGTTTGTCAATTTCTCTGTGCCAGTCCTCTCCATGTTTTGTTATGGCCGTTGAGAGATCTCCATATTCCTTTTCTAACTGACTCATTCTGTTTTGTACATCAGAGGCAATGTCCTGGTAGGTTGGATAAATGGTATCATTTAATTCATTTCTCTCTGTTATAATCATGTCCTTCCTTTCAACCACAACTTGCAAGATTTTAGATAATTCATGACCTAAATGTTGTTTTGCTGCAAGACAGCTAAGACAGACAGGAATGTCACATTGTTTACAGTACATTTTACATCGTTCTTTACCATGGGATGTACATGCAGGATAGATCATATTAGATTTTCTATCCTTGAAATCAACAATTTTATGAGGTTTTGAGAGATCAGCAGAAATGTGCTCTCCCACACAGGTCTTACACAGGTTGACAAGACACGTATCACAGTGCATCTGTACCACAGCGGTCTCACAAAGGTCACATCGCATCACGTCCTGGGCACTGGTACGGGGGTCCATCATCAGATTCTGTGTCTGAAGCATAAAGATTCAACATAAATGATTACTGGTATACATTTATTTACTGGATTTGAGGGCAACAAAAGTTCTGTTAGACAAGAGAACCACACTTTACTAAAACAGATGCATGAAGCCATTAAGCAGAGAAATTTTGGAGATATACCCAGTACACACATATATAGATAAACAAGTCATTATATACAAGATTCATTGAATCTTCTTGTCATGGAAAATTTGCTCCCCATAATTAAGCTTATAAGGATTTTCTTTACTGTTTTTAAATGTACAGAAATGCTTAGGTTAGTCCTCCCATTTTTCTTACCTGACTTCAGTAATGGAGGTCGTCCTATTAATAATTATCTAAGTACAGTCTATGATCACATGCCATACCTGTGTTATCTACCTGTCAGGTGATTTTACTTCCTGGTCTAAAATGGGATTTAAATACCTTCAAAGCAATTGCTCTTTACCATGTTTACAAGACAGGACACTTTTATGAAGATTATTGCATATCAGTTTAATGAAACAATCACAATTTTCCATTTTATTAATAAATAAAGCAAAAGAAAAGTGATAACTCAATTGTGTGTATATACATATACGATTATGTAGAAAAGAACTACCGGTACTATTAGATTTTTTTTTTCCTTTTACCACAGCAAAGAAATTAAATAGTATTGTAGCAGATGCATGAATATTTTGATTTTAAGTAATCTGTAAAGTGCAGTAAAGTTCTGAAAACGTTATGTCGAATCAGATGGATTTTGAACATGAAGAAGAATTAATATACTCTTATTAATCACGGAGCAATTTATATACTTTATATGCAGATAAGATCTTGGAATTAAACTTTAAAAGGAGCTTTACCTGTTTTGGATACCCTCTTCTATGATAGCTTCATAATGGCCACTTGTAAGTCTGTGGAAAGAAAAGACTTGTGAAGAATTTTTAATTCTATTTTAATTCACATTACTGGTATAACCATAAAGACTAGGACTACAGTAGAGGGTCAAATATGTAAGAAGCAAAATGTAAGAAAGATTCATGCATGTAGAAATGTTCTCATCTAAAACAGCTGGACCACATTTAATCATTTTAACTTGCAGGATCTTCATGGCTCCTAGTGCAAGCATAATACCACAAGTGGTATTTAGTCATACTTTTACATGAAAATATAAGGGGGGGGGGGTGGTCCATAATTCTTCTATAGAGCAACAGAGAAATAAGATAAGTCAAATCAAATGTAATGTAGAGGTATATTTGTTCAGGTAACACCTGGGACCACAATAGGTTGTCAAAGTTAAAGAAAACAGGGTCAAAACTAGTCTTTTTATGTGCCCGGATCGATAGATCGGGGGCACATATTGTTTTTGTCCTGTATGTTTGTCTGTCTGTCTGTTGTAAACTTAACCTTCACCATAACTTTTGAACCATGAGAGATAGAAACATCATATTTGGTATGTTTACTCCACCAATTAAGCTCTTTCAAATGACACCAAGGTCAATGACCTTGTGACCTTGACTGTGACCTATATGCTAAAAATAGATTTTTCGAACCTTCACCATAACTTGAACCATAGGAGATAGAGACTTCATATTTGGTATGCATACTCCACTGATTAAGTTCTTTCAAATGGCACCAAGGTCAATGACCTTGTAAACTTGACTGTGACCTATATGCTAAAAATAGCTTTTTCGAACTTTGTTGCCGCCGGGTGCATAGTGTTTCACAAGCACATCTTGTTTAATATGAAAGTATTCATGTGTGATATAGATTCAAGGACTAGGTTGAGGCCAAAATTGGGGATCAAGGTTTCATTGTGCAGAAATATACTGACAATCACAGCAACAAAAATTCTCTGTTTTGTAAAGTTGATATCAAACCTCGATACATGTGAATTAGATGTGGTAAAACAAAGGACTTTCATCTTATTTCACAATAATGAATTATATTAATGATTCAGGAAGAGAATGGCGACACAGGTAAGCATTGTGGTCTATGGGCCACTTGTTTATTTTTAAAACCGTTTCTTTAAAGAAATTATCTGTGAGATATATTTGTTTTCTGTTGACAGTTATACGAGTGTATGGAGCTGCTGAGACAGTGCCCCACCCACTTGACCTTGACCTGCTGTCGTCACCTGATAGGATTCGTCATTGTTCACCTTAAAGACCCAGTCATCTTTGATAAAAATGTAAGCTCTAGCTGTGGGGAAAATGTGATGAAATTTTAGCAGATTTTAATTAACAGCAAAGAAAATGAAAAGAATTCAAAAATACATGTATATGTTTTATAAAAATTTTTATTTTAGGTTTGCTTCATCAGAAAACAATTGTTGTGTGAGGCTGGGATTTACTTGATCAAATTCATTATCAGCAGAATTCCAGGTGGGAATTAATAAACAGAATTGATTAAACCCCAAAATCAAAGAATTTTTCACAGGCAGATTATGAAATATGCATCATGAATTTCACATGAAATTCTTTGTGTGAAAGTTGTGTCAAGATTACACAAAAGAAAATCATAAATGTTCTTCCTTGTTAAGAGAGAATGTCACGAATCATCAAGCTTACTCAGTGTAATTGATGGAAACTTTAAAATTTAGAAATTTCGGGATTTTTGCGTTATTAAACTTCTTTAACAGTTTTATCATTTGTGGTAAAATTTTACAATGATTAGCCAAATCGTTTCCATGGTAACCATATATCAAAGTAAGTAAAATACACACTTTAGAAAAATTCAGATTCAGTCAATTTGCAGTACTTTTACATAGTACAAAAAATAAAAAAATTAATAAATATTAATAAAACGGATTAAAACTAGTTTTAAAAACTAGTACTTTTATATTTTGTCTGCATGTGAACAAAAACTTTTAAATTTTGATTAGTTTTTCTACATGCACTTGGCCTATTTTTGACCCTGTTTTGGTGACTGAATTCTCAAATCTACAACAAGAAAATAAATATCTGATGCTATTATCAAAAAGGTGAACATTATTACTGTTAATATCAAAATTAAAATTGAGAAGCATTCTTAAGTGGGCTTAAATTGAAAGGATTTTTTATCATACTGATGGGTACTTTTCCCATCTTTTATTGTCATGAATTACTTCCCTTGGAAGCTCTTCTGTGATAGAAACAAAAAATGTCGGCAGCCTTTGGATGTTCTGGAGCACTGACTCAAGGAAAATTCATGTTGTTTCAAGAGGGAAAAAGATTCATAAGCTTGGAATCTTTTCAACAACAAAAACCTTATGACAAATCAGGTAATACAATTTAAAAAAAAAAAACATATTTATTTCTAAAAGCGATCAGTCCCTTGCAGAATTATCCTGAGATATCCTAAGAAATCCTAAGATAATCTCAAGATTTATTCCTAGGATATCTTGAAAAAATCCCAGGATTGTTCCTAAGATATCCTGGGATGTTTTTGGAACAGGAATTCCTGGGATTTCCTTGGACAGTCCCAATAAAAGGGTTCTACAAAAATCCCAGGAATCAAAAAGCCAAGACTCCCCAGGATATCCCAAGACTTAAAATTGTCCCAGGAAACCAGGAATTCCTAGGATGTCCTAGGAAATCGGATATCCTAGGACATCTATTTTAAAATTTATGCATAAAAACAAAGCATAATTATAAAATCTCTGAAAAAATTTAATGGATTTATGTATTATAAACTTTCATGGCCACACAGAAAAAAATATTTGATAAAATAATAAAAAATGCTGATGGTATCTGATACAACTAATACTTTACAATTTTACTGCTATAACATTACAGTGCAATTATAAGAATCTATATAACTATGATTCAACATAATGATTTACACACAAGGGGGAAAAACAGATTTTCTTATTTTCAAGCTATGTTAATACATTCTGAAGTGGCTCTCGTAGAATATTAATGATATACAATGACAAATAATAATAAAAAATATTTAAATCAAACCTGGGGGAGGGGGGCTCTTCACTGCTGAAAGAATTCTGTACTAAAAAGAGTTTCAGATACCAAACAGAAACAATTCATAACAAAAATTAAAAAAAAAAAAGGGCCTTGACCTCTGACCATTTCACTTCAAAATCTATAGGAGTTATTAAAATGTTTAATTTATAAACAATATTAAATTTGTATTGACGATCAATCATGTCCCGCAGTGGGATAAGTCAAAAGGAGTTATGATATAAAATTTCATTGCAATATCTGAAGGTTTTCTAGAAATATTAAGAAAACCAAGTGTTATACAGACAGACAGACTGATTAACAGAAAGATAAACAGACCCAAATTAATATCCCCTGCACCTCATCAATCCGATTAAAGTCACCCAGCTTTAGTTGATCCCTAACGTATCTTCTTTAGCTGTACATTTTTCTTCCTCATCTTCAGTGGCCTTAGTTGCTGTTCTTGAAGCCTTGTGAGCTTTTTCTTCAGTCGACTTTTCATTTGTCTTCGCCATAATAAAATTTTACTTAATGTATTCCATTGTTTAGTCTGAATATGTAATTATTTCTAAGGGATTTAAATTAAACTTGTAAAATTTAGATCAATCTTTCAGATTCTACCAGTCCATCAAAATATATGTATTAGACCAAGTGAGATAGACCATTTTTCTCAAAAGATTTATTTTATTCACACTGGCACATACACTTAAACAAACATCAGCATGATGCTGGCCTCATATGGTGCAATTTCTACCTTTCAAGAAAATTGTAAATTATTTGACAGGACCAAGTTATGTCAAGTAAGTGTTGAAACCCAAATGCACCATTTAAAATTTAAATTTTGTAATTTGTTTGTAAATTGGGTCTTGTTTGAAAGATTGTGAAGACATGTACATTTGTATTTTTACATGAATTTATTCTTAAGTCAATGACTGATACCAAAAAAATATGATTTAAAGTTTTAGGAATCCATGTTTGTTAGGGACAACTTAATGCCAGGGAGACAGAAATTCTTAAACTCGTACATTATTTGAACAGCTTACCTTTTTTGGCATTATTCTCCTTGTCATTTGTTTCTTATTCCCTTAGTCTGAGTTAAACATTCTGCAAAGTTACCAATGAAATTTTTATTAGACATGTATATATTTGTACTTTTGTAATCATGAAATAAATTTTAATGACAGTTGATATTTCTTGCTGATTTTTTTTTTAGTGTTTTTCAGCGTTAAATTTTGCAAGTAAATCTTATGAGTTCTATGACATCTTGTTCAGTTTTCCCCACTAGATAGACAGATTAAAATGCTCCATAAACTTTCCAGTTTACAAATGAAAATTTTAACAAAAATGACAAAATACCTGATGCTTCCTTCTTCATTTAGTGGTCTCATGGTAGTTTCCAGTCTCATGATCCTTGCCAGGCTTCAAGGTTCTTACTAGAAACTAACAATACAATGCAGGCTTTATTAAAGAGTATAATTCCAAAAAATACACCATGTCAAAACATCAATGTAAATTTAACATTAACTAATACCTAATATCTGTTTATATAGTCTTCCACTAACTAAAGTTTAACATGCAAAACCTGGAAATATTTAACTGTGTATGTATGTTTGGTCTTCATGGACTTGACTGTATGCCAAAAAGTATTTAACCATATTGAATTCGTTTCTTCTGTTTAAAAAATTAATAAATATTGAAATAAACAACATATCATCTGCACTAAATTATATAGCAATATTTGTGTTTTAACGTTTCATCGTATTAAGTATTACAAAGAACCACTCGCCACTTACCCCACTGGCCAGGATATCTATACTTCTTCCAACATTCCCTTGACTGTAGGCCTAGCTAGACCAAGCTTTTTGGGAAAGAGAACATGCTTTAAGTGAAGAATAAGCGTCCATGATGGGCATCCATCCGTTGGACATTGCGTTACATTTTCACTATGTATCTAAACATTGCCGCTCCTTGAACTCCTATATTGCGCTTCTCGGTGAATTCTCGCGAGAAGATGCTTACAAGACGGTGTAAAGTGATTTCGTACCATACCATGAAAAAGCGGTTTGTCATTTTATTCTTGAAAATGATAATTTGTTGTGAATAAGAACTTATGTTTTTTCTACAAAAAGAAAGTATATTTTTTAGTGAACATTTTATGACAAATTAATATTCAAAGCTGAGTTGACAGGTGGTGTGTCCTTCATACACTGTGTGCTAATTGATCGAAGATCACTTTTTTGTACCACTTCTCGGAAGTTCGCGCGAGAGAATGCTGCAGACACGGTGTAGGGTATTTTGAATACCATTAAGTAGCTATTCCAGTTAACGCCATTTTAATCTTAAAATAGTAACAACCGGAAGGCACCTGGTAGCCATATCTGCATGCGTTTGTCGATGGGTCTTGGATCCTAGAAATAAATCGAGGTAAGTATTATTTGACGGACTTTGAGGTTGATGACAGTGGTGCGTAAGGTGTTTTTATGTTGGGGTATAGTTTGTGGTTTGCAAGAAAGCTCTTAAAACCTGTTAATTGTTTTTAAATCAATTGAGAACAACAAAAATATGTGCACAAGAAAGGTCGTTGCATTTGTATTTTCTATGATTCCTTGGCATTTATAGGAAGTAGCATGAATTTAGACATTTATAATGATTTTTTAAAGGCTATTGATTTTTATTGAAATGTAAAATGTGTTCTGTAACATTGCACATTTTTGCACGATTATTTTGAAAGTTGGTAGATTGGTCAACACAGGCATTTTCTGGGAATCAAATTACCTGCCCTTTATATAGTCCATTTCTTTATAGACTTCGGAAAACATATATTAATATAAAGACGTAAAAAGGCAAATTGGACATATAGGATCTTTCATGATTTGTGGTTGGGTATGATTTTTTTAAGGCTCGGGGATAAAACACACAATGAGTTTGATAAAAAAATCACATGTAACCAAAAAACATGGGAGTTTGTTTTTATCACATGTTTCACACATAGCTTTTTTATGCGTTATACTGTATTATATATATGTAAATCCTTAATATTTGACTTGATCAAATTCATGCAAAAGCCATTGTGATGTCACAACTGTGGATATGAAAATGATATCGTATGAGCAATGTCCACTGTATAAAGCAGTATTACAAGTGATAAAATGATTTTCTCATTAAAAAGTATATTATATTTTTTTTTTTTTGTCGTATTCTAGGACTTGAGAAATTACGAGTGACACAGTGACTGAATTTTTCCATAAAAGGTAAATATATCTCAATTTTTTTTTAAGCATAATTTGCTTTTATGTATGTGTGATATTTTTATTTCTTTTTTTGTTTTTATTTTCTTTGGTTCACTGTCTTTGTCTTTTATGTTTAGTTTATTGTCCTCATCTTGTATATTTAGTTTACTGTCTTTATTTTGTGCTTGTCTTCATTTTTTTTTTTTTTCATTTCATTTT